CTGTCTGTCATAAGAAAAAAGCCTTCCTTTGAGAAACTGTGGAAGAATTTCTCCTAGAAAAAAAGGGCATGCAATGCCCAAGAAAGGACATTTGTGCTTTGTTTTATTTTATTTTATAAGATATCTCTTTGCCAGGAGATAAAACATTTGATGAGCAGAAGTTGTTTAGAAAAGAAATATAGATAATTTTATTTTCCCCAAAACTTATCTTTCCATCATGTCTTTGTTTCATTTGCACAAGAGAGGCTGATCTTTAAAAATACAATATAAGGCTGCAATAAAGAGTTTCACCCAAATTAGGGCAAAAGATGGTGCATTCTCAATTGTACTTTAAGGTTTAATAAAACAACATTTCTTAACAAAGGAATGATTTAACAAATACAAGCAAATTTTATAATTTAATCCATACCAGGAGAAAAACAAGTGGCATGCATTGCATACATTTGGTGTTGCCATAAGCAGCAGAGAAATTCTTATTGTGATCATATTGTAAATGAGGAATTAATAATTTCACATACATTGGACTGACATTTCCCATGTCAGAACCATATATTTAATGTTCCTAAGGTTTGGCTTGGGGATGTGGTGGCTCAGTAGCTAAGACGCTGAGCTTGTCAATCGAAAGGTCGGCAGTTCAGCAGTTCGAATCCTGATTGAACTGTAACAGGGTGAGCTCCCATTACTTGTCCCAGCTTCTGCCAACCTAGCAATTTGAAAGCACATAAAAAATGCCAGTAGAAAAATAGGGACCACATTTGGTGGGAAGGTAACAGAGTTCTGTGCGCCTTTGGCATTTAGTCATGCCGGCCACATGACCACTGAGATGTCTTCAGACAGCGCTGGCTCTTTGGCTTTGAAACGGAGATGAGCACCGCCCCCTAGAGTCGGGAATGATTAGCACATATGTGCGAGGAGAACCTTTACCTTTAAGGTTTGGCTTAGAAGATTGGACACTTTCCTTCTTATTTTAATATATAAAAATATTTGATATTGGCTTACTAAATATTAACCACACTATTTGCACTGAAGATATTACTTAGTATGGTAACGTTGTATTTTTCAACGTTTGAGCTACCGATATTCTCTTCTATCAGTACTATTGTTTGGGTTTCTTCTGTATTTTTATTTCCTGCAGTCCTAAAACTATTTTTGACAGTGCTGTCATTGAAGTGTACTTCTTCAAACAAAGGTTGATGCTGTTTTATAGGATATATTTTTATTAACTTTTCAAGGTTATAATTTTCTGAGTTCTTTTTACCAAAAATCATTTGATAGAATCAAGCTAATAAAAAACTTCAGGATTTTAGAAGGCTTCCGGTTTGACTTCCGTCGCTGTCAGACGGTCCCTTGGGACCGCCAGCCCCGTCGCCCATAAAGAGCCGCCTTTACAGCTGAAAGGCGGCTCGAAAAACTCCATTTCCATAAGGAAATGTGAGATAGAGCAGGCGAGGGCAGGTAGAGCCCTCTGCGAAGTCCCCAGAGTTTTTCTTTTACTCTTAGGGACGAAGCCGGATGAGGCTCCCTATTTCCTTCGCCGCTGCTCCAGGCTTCGGGAGACCTCTGCCTTTTGCAGAGCCAGGCGACGAGATCAAACCTTTCAACGAAAAACAACAGATTGTTTAGTTAAAGAGGACGAGATCTGGACTTGGGACCCTAAATCGCAAGTACTTTTAATGATCTTATAAGCGTTTCTAAGTGAAGGGAAAAAAAAGCTTAAAATGGCGACCGCTGAGGCTTGAGAAGTAGCCGAAAGTGAAAGTCCTTCCGTAACAAGTTACAAAGTAGCGGAACAAACAGTGCTGGCTAGAATAGAGAAAAGAAAAATTTCTATTCTAAGTTTCTTTCTTTTTTTTTTTTTTGAGATTTGACATTGATCTTGTTGGGAGAGAAGTCCTCTTTCTTTAAAAAGAGTTTGTCTGTGTGGCAGGATGGCGTTAAAATTAACAAAGCCAGACAAACAAGCAGCGGGGGGGGGTTTCCCCCATTTACAATTATGTGAACAAGTTTCGAGTTTACAGACTCAGAAGAATGGTTTTAATTTAAAAGAATTTGTTTTGAAGGAAATGGCAAGACATGACGAGATTGTGAACCAGAATTTTGAAAAATTTAGGCAGGAAATTAAAGAATTCATACAATTAAAGTATGATAATTTACAACGAAAGATTGTAACAGTGACTAATGCTTTTTCAGAAATAGTTATAAAGATGGATACAAATATCAAGTTATTAGAGTCTAAAATGGAGGAAGTTGATGATAAGATTTATAATTTGAACAATAAAATACAAAGAATGGAAAATGATTTGATAAATATTCAAGACAATAGCTCTGAAGTAAAGTCTAAAAAGGAAGCTGATCACGAGACTTACAATGCAGAAAATATAAAACAAGGGATTGAAAAAGAAGTTACAATGATGCAATTCAGGCTCATAGAATTTGCGGTTAGAATGAGAGGGTTACAGGAAAATAATAGAGATGATTTAAGAAAAATATCTGCTGAAGTTCTGGCCGGGATTTTAAAGGTTCATCCAGAGGAGGTATCTTGTAAGATCGACAAGGCCTATAGAATAAATTCTTGGATTGCAAAGCAAAGGCAATTGCCTAGAGATGTGGTGATTTATTTTACAGATAAAGAAATAAATGATATTGTGCAAAAATCTTTTAATTCCACTCTACAATTGTATGGAAGAAAGATCTGGATATATAAAGAGTTGCCGCCCAAGATATTAAAAGATAGAAAGAAATTTGGATTTTTGGTAACTGAGCTAAAGAAACAAAACATCTCATTCAGGTGGGATGTCCCAGTTGGCATAATACTGAGATATCAAGGAGAAAGATACCAACTAAATACTGTTGAAAAAGCGGAAGAATTTTACTATAAGGTTCTTAAAATGGGTTCAACATCTTCATGTATAATACATGAGTGGAATAAAGAAAAGCAAAATCAACAAGAGATAGAAATTCAGGATAAGCAGAAGGAGATGGAAGTAATGGAAAAACAACAAGTTACAGAGGACTTTGTAGATGAGCCGCTTCTGGATTCTCCTTCAGAGGTTACAGCTGGACTATTTATAAATACAAGAGAGGCGGCTTTGGATTCTAATGTGATGCTTTATCAAGTTACAGACCAGCATAGAAATCAATCAGTTGACATACAACTCATAGAAAAGAAACCAGAATGGAGATTTAAGCCACAAAAGCAAAACCAACAAGATCAAGTTATAGATCAGCATGAAAACCAAATAGTTGATACACAATTTATAGAAAGGAAATCAGGATGGAGATCTAACCCACAAAAAGTCAAGAAAAGAAGAAGCAGGTCTTACAAAAACAAAAACTTTTAAACTAAACAACAGTGTAATGCCAGTTATTTAAGAGATGATTGAATATATGAAAAGATAGCTGAGGCAAAGTATTGATTTATATTATCCTGAGGAGAGTGACAGACCTCTCCAGTGCTGTACTTTTGGGATGTGAAAAGGGCCTTAAACTGAATGGATTGGAATTATCTATTTTGGATTCTTTGATAAATGTATTATGTTTATGCTGAGCTACAAGGCAAGAGAGTTATGGGATTGGGGCACGCAGAAGATCTGGTTGTTACCCTATTACGGAGGTTGGAATTAATAATTTAGATGAAAGACACTACTATAGACACTATATGGAATACAAATATAAAGTCACTCAGGTGGTTGTTTTTTATATATCAAGACATCTATTGTTGATGGGGGCAGATGGTAATTGAAGATACCGAACATACTGTTGGAATTAGGATGTGATGTTACCCTAATATGGGTGATGGAGTTAACAATCCAGCTGAAAGACACTACAGAAGATATTATATGGATTACAAGCTTAAAGTCATTTGAGGATTTTATTTATATAAGGGAATACTTCTTAGTGGTGTGGGCAGAAGAATAAAGATATAGAACTATTATGTATGGTAGTCCTGTAGGAAAGTGGGTGGAGATAGGTTAGCTTATTGATTGTTTAGTTGAAGAAAAGGGATATTATGTTTAGATATGAATATATGTAAAAGATTTGAGTTAAGAGATATATCTATGGGGGTGGAGGAAATGGGCAGACTATGAGTTGAATAAATGTTAAATTAGGATTTATTATATAGTTTTATAGTGGAAGGTTGCTTTGAAATGTCATATTAATATACAAAAAAGATTTGATTTAAGAGATATAGGTATGGGGGAGGAGAAAAAGAGTAGATTATGAGTAGAAATTGTTAAATTGGGGGATATAGTAATATTACTATGCTAAATTAGGAGTTATTATATAATGTTATAGTAGAATGTTATTTTGAAATGTATAGTATAAGGGGGATATAATAATATTATTAGAAAGAAAGGGTCAGCATATGGGGGATGGAGCAAGGGGATGGTAAAGTATTACATAATCTGTTATGAATTTGGGTTTTACTTTGAAGAAGCCACAGGGGAGGGGAGGGGGAGGGGGGGTTTTGGAGGAGGGGGGGAAAGGGGGGAAAATTTGTATTTGAAAAACTTTTTCAATAAAAAAAAAAACTTCAGGATTTTTTTCTGTGCATTTTTTTCCCTGTAGGTGGGTATATTGCTCAACCAAGGAAAGATGCTTATAGTCTCAACATGCTCTGTTTCTCTTCTGCTCTTCTATAACTGATCAATATAACAATAGCAAAATATGTATGCTTGAGTATAATCATTCAACTTTGTATCAAGTTAGATAAATTCTGGAGCTTGTATAAATTTATTTTGATTATGGAGATACATGTGTAAGTAACCTGTGTCTGGAATATTGAACAACCTTTGAATACAGTCTTCCACATAAAGAAATAAAGTGGAGAATTAGGGCTCCTTTGTATTTCATAGAATTATATTTTTTCCCTAATCATAATTTTTCAAATGTTAAGGTTGCAGAAAATATTAATGAATAATAATAATAATAATAACCTAAATTGGGATGCATTGTGACTAAATGTGCAGAGATTGCAACATAATCCCTTTTTTATTCAGTTATAGGTGCCCAGCGCAGGAGAAGCCCCAGTGCCCTTGCCACTGATGTATTTGAGTCACATTTGGGAAGTCACATTTTACAGGTAAAAAGCATTGGCTTTGCAAAAAAAAAAAAAAAACAAATATAAAAGTTTAACATGTTTAATAGCAAGATATAAGACACCTGTCAAATATTTGGATATTGCTATTACTATTAGAGCCTATACAGTGAGGGTTTGTTTACATATTCTTTTTTTTAAGTGAATGGTTAAGAGAATGTTAATGAGAGAAGGAGGGCAAGTATTATTTTTACTGTAATAATTTAAAACTGAGCACATTAGTTGTATAAGTTGTGCAATAGCTGTTGGTTTCCCAAAATGTCTATATATATTTAAGTATTAACTATTTTGTGAAAAAGAATTTTTAATCTTGTTCACATGTAGATTTTCATTTTTCTCCTTCTATTGTAGTTTTTCAGCACTATTGCTTCATCTGTTGTATTCATTGTGCTATCTATATTCCTTTAAAAGACGGCATGCCTTTAATGCTTTAGATAAACAATATAGTATTCCTCCAATTTTTTTTAATAGTATCTGTGGAAGAAACTATCTTGACAAATGTTGTGCATCAGTCATGTGTTTTCATGTTGTTCTGACACAAGATTCCTAGTAGAATCTCATTTTGATCAGAATCAATATATTTCTTCACTGTAAGCAAAATATAAAAATCTATTATATCATGAACTTTGCTTCTTTGAAAATAATTTCTATACCTGTATATTAAACTTTGCATCCAGAAGAAAATATTACTTTAAATTAAGCAAAGGGCTGAATCCAGATGTCCTAATAAATCTGTTATACTATATTATAAATAAGACAAGACATGTACCCTCCTCGGAGTTTTCTATCATTCTTTGCTAAGATCCCTATCTTTTGTTGCTATATTTTTGGTGATTTCTTGAACAATAATTGGCAAAATGAATGGCAAAGTAAGTTTCTCAAGAAAACCAGGATAATTGTAATGATTTTTATTTATCAAATGGATGGATTTCTTATGCATATGATCTTGGTAAAGATCATTTATCTTGCATAGCTTTATTTTTGTATGTGATCATAACAATATTTTGCATACATTTAAAAAAATTATGCTGGTTTTGGTTGAATGTGATTTGATACAGTTTTACTGTCTGTTCTGAAAGAGGAGGAAAGGAGATGTTTGATTTATTATCACTAGTATTAATAATAATGACTATGCAATCAACTATAACAACAACAACAACAACAACAACAACAACAACCTTTAGCATCATCAAACAATAATGTCTGCCTATCCCAGGTCCTTGGGAAGGACTTAGAGGGATAAAAATACCAAATCCAGTCTAAACAGCTGGCTGACTGTGGGATGAATCATAATAGTATTAAAATAATGTGAGAGTTTGGAAAGCATAATAAAATCATGAACATAAAATCATAAAAACATATGTTTATTATTTAATAAATGTATATGCCATCCACTCTTGCTCGATAGTTATATGGACAGCATATAAATTGAATAAATAAATAAATAACAATATATTTATAATATATAAATAGCAAAAAGAGTTCTTCTGACTATGACTGTGTTATAGTCCTTGCAAGTGTTAGTTGGAGATATGCTGCCCCCAACCTAGAAGTAGCTTTGGGTCTCAGTATCCTTTGATAGACTTCTTCATGAATATATCCAATCTCCATTTAAAGCCATGTAAGTTATGTGACAGCCAGTTTGGTATAGTAGTAAAGGCAGCTGGCTAAAAATTGGGAGTCTATTCGTTTTAGTCATGCCTGATCAAAAGCCAGTTGGGTGATCTTTGGCCAGTCACTCTATATAGTTGTTATCACTACAACATAATAATACATTTCATAGGTTAATTATATGTGTGAAGGAGTTCATTTTGTCTGTTCTGAATTTTCTTCCATCCGGCCTCATCGGATGATTCCTGGTCCTAGTGTTTTGAGACAGTTTTATGTGTGCCTTGTAGTCCTTAATTGCCATTGTTCACCATTCTTGTAAGCTGCAGGCTCCAAATATTCGAATGCTTTCTTATAAGAAAAGTATTGGGGGTATCTTTTCATTTTGATTGCCCTCTTTTGAATTTTGCTCAGCTTTTTTTCCAAATGTGGTGACTTGAACTGTGCCTGGTATTCCAGATGTGGGAATCACAAATTTACATAAAGACATTACAATGTGGGCTGTTTTCTTTTTTAATCCACTTCTGATGCTCATTAGCATGGACTTTTTCTTATTCATGGCTGCTGCGCAGTTGACATCTTCATTAAGCAATCCATTATGACCCCATCAAGATAATTTTCCTGGTTAGTTACAGACTTCTCAGATCCAGTTAGTCCAAAAAAAAAAAAAAATTAGCTGGTTGAGCCCCAGCATATAAATAGAAATGTTTTATATTTACATTGAAGCACATTTGCCATTTGGTGGATAATTCATTTAGTTTAAAGAGATCTGTCTGGAGCACAAAATCACTTGATCTTCACAAGATTTGGTATCATCCAGAAAGTTGGCCATAGATAATACTTTTTCATTAGTCAGGATTTTTTACGAATAAATTAAAAAATACTTCCCAGAACAGATGTTTGAGGAAACAGAAATTTTATTCCTGTCCGTTCAGTTAGGAGTCTATAAAAGAACATGTCTTATCCTTTGATTCCCAAGTTTACCCAAGAGCTTTTGATAGGCATCAAAGTCAGTTTGAAAATCCAAGTTTATACTATTGGCAGAGTACCTCTGTGTCCCTGAGAAAGTCAGTACAAGTTTAAGTATCTATCCTGTATCTTTTGTAGTAAAGCGATGCAAAGAATTCATTTCGTTTCTTTGTGTGTCAGAAACAAATTATATAATCAAAGCAACAATTGAATCTTTGGGCAAAGGAATATGACTCAATAACATAACATCAGGAAAAGTTGCCACATACAATATAACTGAAAAACTCTGATTGAATTCATAGTAGGAAGAGTTTGTTGAAAATAAAGTAATTAACCAATATACATTTTTTTCAGTTTTTGTGCCAACATCTTAGTGACTTTGGCTTCACTGTCAGGTAAAATTTATTAACCATGGCTAAGAAAAAATAACCTAAAAATATAATATCATGGCATTTATTTTGATTATTCTATGGAAAATAGATTAATATGCTGATACAAAAATAGGCAATCTGAAGTGCAGTCTTTTTCTTTATGAAGTTGTATAAAGACTTAAGATTACAATGAAGACATTGATTGACCTCATCCTTTTAATATAATCAAGAATGACCAGAAAATGTAAGATTAAATATGGGGGAAACTAAAAGAGAGACAATATATTTGCATATGCAAATTAGCTTAATTGATCCTGCTTGCCTCTACAGGGATTTTTCATTACAAACTGGAGTGCTACATTGTTCAGCTCATATTGAGTAATTTAGTAACTAATGAGACCAGTTTGCACTAATTTGCATATGATAAATGAGCTTAATTGCAGTAAATAACTTGGAGGCATAATTACTTAATTTTCCTGTGTTGCATGGCTTTTAAGTTCACATATGAACAACTCAAGATAATTCTGCATATTTAAATGTTGCATTTTGAATGTCTTAAACCAAAAGGCATATCTTAGAATGTTATACTGTAAAACAATCAAGTGAGGTTTACTGTATTGCTACTTAAATTGTAGACATTATGAAGTGTTGATTTTGGATGATTATGATTTTATACACCACAACCTTGCTAATGACTACACATGTGACAAAAGTACAATGGTGCTTAAAAACCAAGATATTATTTATGTTGGCATGATTCCTGTATCTGTAAAATAATACTTTGGTATACCATACATTATGACTGCTAAGTAAGAGAAATAACCATTTAGAAAGTTGTTTGAAATTATGAATAAAAGTGGGACACAAAGATAATGTTCCTATCTGCAATCTAGATTCTAGGCAATTATCATAAAACCTAAGTACAGAGGTAGGAGTAAATGTGTTTATTACACAACTAAATACAATATAGAGGTTACAGCATATGTGATGCATTCCTCTCTTTGAGGAAAACAGAGAGAATTAAAAGATGCTTTGATTTTTTGAATATTATTTAGAACAGCACGTTTAACAGGTTCATTCCCAGTGCTTTGCTTTTTCAAGGCTTGGGTTGATGAACAGGTGAGGGCTAAAAGAAGCACTCTAGTAACCAAAGATGAAAATTTGTAGAAAGAAAAGCCTGCAAGTGAAATTGGAGTAGAATAGGACCAAAAGTAGCATTGAATCTGCAAAGGATATCAATTTGATAGTATTTGATGATGGTGTTACAGCAGAGGGATAAGCAATATGGGCATCAATATATTTCCAGTATTGTATGTATAAATACCTTTTATGTACCTGGCTACTCGCCATATTAGATTTTCATTTAAATATTGCTTTAGTTTTCTAAACTGGCATTCAGCATACTTACAACAGTTCGTTTAGTGACTGTTCAAAGTTACCATGTACTGAAAAAAATGACTTATGATCATTTTTCACACGACCATTGCAGCATCCCCAATGGTCACATGATCAAAACTCAGATGTTTGGCAACTATTTCATATTTATGACGGTTGTAGTGTCCTGGGGTCACATGAACAGCTTTTGCAACTTTCTGACAAGCAAAGTCAATGGGGAATCCGGATTCATTTAACAACCATATTACTAACTTAACCAATGCAATGATTCACTTAACAACTGTGGCAAGAAAAGTTGTAAATGGGGCAGAATTCACTTAACAAATGTTTGACTTAGCAACATAAACTTTGGACTCAATTGTGGTCGCAACTCAAGAGTTGCCTGTACTATTTCGGGGTTCTGCATATATATTCCTAAACAATGTTGTGTAGATGCATCTGTCAATTTGGGGCTACAGTTGCAACAGTCTTGTTTGAATACAGCAAATGATTCATTAACACCATGGAACTTTATGCATATTATCCTTCCAAGTACCTGTTAAATACATATTATTATACTTTAACATCCATATCACATAGATTTTGATATATATGGATTTATCCAGAGTATACATTGTTGCCAAGCTAAATAATATTTTTGCT